ATCTCTCGCCCATTCTTTATAAAAGGTCTACTTTCTGTGTTTGGCCTTTGCTGGTGTCCTGGCACTCTGTCCCCGTGCTTCATCATGTCCCTTGTTCCAGGGATGGGCAGGACACAACTTCTCTAAGAGACAACAGAGAGGAAGAGCAGGAGCCCCTTCACTCCACAGCCCTCTCTCAGTCGTTTCCGCCTTTCCATGTCTGTGGTCTATTCAGACCCAGCAACATGTTCATCACAAGGCTGGGACCAGGGATTTCCTTTGGGATAGTTTTCTCAGGCTAACAATGGCTTGGACATTCTCAGGGAGCTCAGAAACGCCTTCCTGGATCATAGATCCATCTATGGAAACTCTATGGTCAGGGTAGACAGGCAAAGCCAGACATGTTTTTATTATACTGTCATGTGTAAGGGTTAGAGATAAGGACTCAAAGGGAAAATAACAGCTATGGTTAAATGGGGAGACTTCTGGATGATTCCACTGGGAAAAAATGATTAACAAGAAGAAGGGCCCAAGAAAAACACTGGGCCAGGCACTGGGGGGTATGGGGTGCATAGAAAGATGGTCACCGTGGGAATCCAGGAAGTGGAGAGCTTGTCTTAGGAAAGTAAGACTTTCTATGGTTGAAAGTGCCTAGCCAGCTCTAACCTTCATCAGCAATGGCTTCTGACCTTCAGTGCTCATGGGAACCCTCTGCCCCCATCAAAGGTCTGTTAGGGTTTGAGATGTAGCTCAGGAGTGCATATAGCATACATGAGGTCCTCTGTTCAAGCACAGGAGAGAGGTTGTGTCTGTTAGGAGCTAAGTCACTAGGGTTAAGCAGGAAGACACAGCAGTCAAACTACTGTAAACCAAACTCCAGCCAGAGAGCTATGGGCAAGCCCAGGCCAGACCTACCCTGTACTGTGCCTCACAGCCTAGCTTCCCTGACCACACATCCCAAGGGAGCTCCTTCCCCTGGCCCCAGGAGTCCAAAGCCTTGGAGAGAACCTGAGATTCCATAACCTGGAGAAGTATAGAAAGGGTTGTCTTGGGCTAAAGGGTGACTTTTAAATCCATTGTGGATGTCTATTTAATTTTTAACTAGTAACAAATTTTAGTTTTTCTGTGTAATACATAAAATGCTCTTATTGTAAGCAACTCCAAGTAAGGATAAGGACAACATTGCCCCTGACCCTTCCCTTCAAAGTCACTTTCTTCCCTGTGCTCCGTGTGTGGAGTTTGATTCCCTCAGCATCTGTGGAGTTTTCACAAAGAAAGGAAAATCTGTGTCTGCCAGGCACTGGGAGGAACAAGCTCACTCTTGGGAAAGGCACCAAACTCTCATTCCCACCGAGTGAGTCCCTCTTGCTAGCTAATTATCTTCTGAAAGAAGCCCACCCTCCCTCATGCAGAGGCTGTCAAAACACAGGTGGTGTTTTCCTTGCTTGGTTTGTGTTGTGTGGTTTGGGGTAGCAGACAGAAAACAAGGTTATCAATGTGCATGTTCCCTGAGGCATTGTGCTTGGGCTTTTAATATCCATGTAGTCTCTCCCTGAGAAAATCCATGAACCACCAGGAGGGAGAAGGTGCAGGGAAAGTAAGGAGGTGGGGAAGCAAGAACTTGGTGAAAACAGACAAAAGGCCTGTGGGAGTAACAAGACTCAGCCCCAAGAGACAGGCCACAGCCACTCTGAATTTCCCTGGAGGAGTTCTCTCTAAGAGTCGTTCTTTCAAGGAAAATTCTGGCAAATAGGACAGAGCCAGGAAGTGGCTGGTTATCAGTATTCCTCCCACACTCTAACCTAATTACAGGGAGATTGTTTTGGCCACGGGCAGTCATTTCAGGTTTTGTTTTCCTGCCTGCCTCCCCACCTCCACCTGTCTTCTTAGAGGCTCCAGTCAAGGTTATTGCAAAAGCACAGAGCACTGTGTAACACGAATACAGGCAAATTAACCTTTGGGGATGGGACCATGCTCACAGTGAAGCCAAGTAAGTTGCCTTCTTCTTAGCCTGGGCCTTTAGGGGAAATCAATCAAATCATTAGCTTGAAAAATACTTTAATCTTATGCATCTGCTTGGGCTCTTTATTAATATTCTTTCCTCAGGCCAAAAAAGAGCTGTTTCTCTCCCCTGCTTTAAAATGAGATGGGAGTGGGGAGGGGCAGGGAATAAAGACATAAACAATTTTGAAGCCACTGAGGACATTAGGAGGGAGCTCTAGGGAATCCAGTACCCCAGCACTTTTGACTAGACTTTCTAGCAGGCTCCCTGGGCCTGTGGGATGCACTTTGGTTCTGTCTAATGGTCAAGAGCAGAAAAGTCCTCAGGCTTCTTCTCTGTAATCAGTTCCAAAACCTAGCAACCCTCGCTGTCTGAAAGTACTTTCTCACATCTAATTCTGATCTCTGCTACAATTTAAATAACTGGAAAGAACCAGGCGGACTTTGTACATCTGGATTAAGAAAAATAAGTATCTTTCTTGGATCATGAGGCTCAGCACTGAGTCCCATCCTAAGACTTCTGTGGAATGCCCTTTGCCCTCCTAGACATTTTAAGCTGCAGCAATGATGGGCTGGGCACTACAGCATCAGCTCTAGAGACAAAATATCCGAACTCAAATTCGTGTTCTACTCCTTAACCAGCTGAGTAATCTGGGGTGAGTTTCAGCTTTTCCATCTATAATATGAAGATAAAAATACATCTCCCCTGATAAATTATTGTGACGTTCAAATGAAATAATACAGTTCACATATTTAGCATAGTGCCCAGAACACAGGGAGCCATCATTAAACCTCAGCCGTTAATAATAATGACATAGGTCATCTCTGACGCACGGCAGAGCTTTCGCTTCACCCTTTGGGCTCTCCTGTCAAGGCTCTGTCACGCAGCAGGAGCAGAGATGGAATAGAAGGGAGGGTGAAGGGTGTCAGCCTGTTCTATGAAATTCTTCACCTGGGATTTGACACTGAAAATAGAAAGAACCCTGACTCATTTCAATAAAAAAAAAATTGCAGTGTCAGAGGGACAGGGACAAGGGCAAGGTTTCTGCAGAGCTGCACAGCCAGGCTCTTGGGGCCACCCACCAACTTGACCCCAGCACAACACAACTCCCTCCAAGATACCTGGATCCTCTTTCCCCAAAGGGGTTTCCATATCACCAAAATACAGGAGAGACTTTAGAGGAAAGGTAACCTGTCTCAAATTGCCCTGCTCTTCTGGGCAGTGATGCTCACTAGAAATCTGGTTCCTGAAACTCCTTTGCCTCTGACAAAGCTCTCAAGCCTGGAGAGAGAAGCTCAGCAAAGTCCACAAATGTGAATGAGGACCATGTATTTCAGGGGAAAGCTGTGAGGGCCAGGTGGGCACTGTCCCATCTCTAAGTCTGGGAAAGGACATATTAGACAAGACTGAGGGGCTTCGCTCTCCAGCCTGGCCAGGACACAGAGCATAAGATGCAGCTGATACTGCAGAAGGGAGCACATTAGTGGTAAAACCTTCTTAATAGGTTTTTGAACGGTGGAAATGAGCTGTCAGGAGTCATAGCCAGAGCGCTTTCTCCAGAGGGTTTTTGAAAGGAGATAGACACCTCCTGTCAGGGGTGAGTGAAGTACAGTTCTGCCCCCAGGCGTTTGGAGGAATGAGAGAATCTTTTTAAGCTTTCTGTAGCCTCCAGAGCCTCTCTCTGTGAAAATACAGGACTGATTAATGCAGAGTTCTAGCCTTCGGGATGCGTACATGGCTTACTGGGCTAAGTCTTAGAACCATTGCTTGCTGCTTCCCAAACTCCCTTTGTTCTCAGGACTCAACAGACAAAAGGGACCGCTTTTGTCTTCTAAAGCCAGAGCTGCCGGTTCCAGGTCCTGAGTCTCTTGTGGTGTGGAGAGGCTCTGGGGGCACAGGGAGGAAGCACTAGTGAGTTTTTGCTGAGCACAGAAGCACTGTGCAAATAACAATGGTGGGCGACTGACCTTCGGTCTCGGCACCAGGTTATCTGTGTATCCCCGTAAGTACACAATAGTGACAAGACGCGATGAGTACAGTGCTGGCATGGGGGTCAGCTGAGGGACCTGAGGCCAGAGGTCCACTGTGACCTCAGGAGGGGCTGAAGGAGAAGCCCGTGAGGACAGAGGAGGAGAGTTTGCTCACTGGAGGTGTGGGAATTCAAGCTGGAGGATTTGCAGTACAGGTTCCCTTCTCTGGCTGCTTTGTGAGAGAGAAACCTGAGCTGGGTTTTGATGCTGAGAGAAGCACTGTGCAGAAGGACAGTGTCTCCTCTGCCTTTGCGACAGGGACAAGGCTGCTTGTGACGCCAAGTAAGTGGCAAATAATTTGAATTATGCACTGAGTAAATTTATCTCCAAAAGGACAATCTATTCCCCAGGGGCAAGGGGACTCCTTGAATCAAAAGTGCATGGGCAGATGAACAAAGGCCCAGTATCTTCTCACCTTCTTCATCCGAGGAGGAGGCAAGGGTGGAAGGGGAGGAATAGCACGAGAACTTCATAAGAACCTAGTTCTGGGATTTCTCCACGCTGCCGCACTTCCAGTGAACAAACTATCTTGTGGCAGAGTCTTGCTTGGCAGTAAATTCCAGCATAGTTATCCCCACTTGGTAGATTTAAAAACTGAGGCAAAGAGTTCAGTGATTGGCATTGCTCCAACAAGGACAGAACAGGCATTGAGACAGGCTTGCCACTGGACTCCAGAACCAAACCCCAGGCTCTTTCAAAGAGTTGAGACGGGTGGTGGTCACACCCCAGAGGCACTGAGGAAGGGGTTTGGGGTCAGATAAGTTCTTAGAAGCGAGGGCTTCCATTATTGCAGAATCTTGAAGTCAGGCAGGCTTTATGAACCCCACGGGTGCCTCTCTCTGGCTATACTGCACAGAGAATTTGCCTCAAAGTCTTGAAAGCAGAGAATGAAAAGTCTTGAAAGGAGAGAAATTAAAAGAGAAGAGGAAAATGTCTCTCGCATCATACAGCCCCCTCATTTTGGAGCAAGACTGTTTCCCCAGGAGCCGTTTGTCTTCATTTAGCAGCTGTCTTCTCTGGGGAAGCCATTTTGTAGAAGTGTTTGTCACAGTGCAACAACTACCGGTTTGGGGAAATTGCAGTTTGGAACGGGAACTCAGGTTATGGTTACCCCAGGTAAGCCCAGTTGCATGGAGCCTTGGTGTCCCTTCTTCTTAACCTTTGTGTAACACTCCTTTCCAAGTAAGCCTTTGAGAAACACATTGGGAAGGAAGCCATTTCCCCCAAACAACAATATCCAGAGCCATTAAGCAATAATGAGACAGCATTTTTGGCATTAAATAGAAACATTTTTGGATAAATAAGACTATCAGACTCCTGTGTGTGAGCACTCTGATTCTCCCTCAGAAGAAGTTACTGTAAGAAGCGCTGCCATGATTCCTGCTGCAGCGTGGGAGCAATAGACTATGGATTTGGGGGTGGAGGATTAGAAATGTGTTCAGGCAGATTGGACATGTTTTTGACAGGGTATGTAACACAGTGTGAATTATAACCAGGGAGGAAAGCTTATCTTTGGACTGGGAACCAAGTTATCTATCCAGCCCAGTAAGTATAAAATTATATCCTTGGATTAAGCAATGTCTATGGATTAAGGGCTGATTTTTGACTCAATTATACACTATGTAAAGAATGCCTACTGAGGAGGAATGGGGGGTCAAAAAGGAGGCCAGAGTCTCCCTGCTTAGGATCTGGCAGCTCAGTGCAAAATGAGCCATGGAGGAATCACTCTGGGAGTTGCTCCCAGAATATATGCGTCGGGACTAAGGATACCTGACTGACTGCATGGGCTTTGGCTAGGATCGTAGCCCCTGCATTTGTGCAGTAATCAGTGACAGGATTTCTGATTCCTTAATATGAGCTCTCTGCGGCGCTGTTCACTTTGAGGTTACGTCCCTGTTTAGAATGAATCTTTTGTAAATCATTATCGCTGACCAAAGTAAGAGATGAGTCTCTGTCAAAGTCTGAAAAGTTACACTGGAAAAAAAAAATGTATCCTTGAGTCCTGAAGGACACCTCCCATGTCTGGAACATTAGCCAGAAGTCCATATGACGTAGACTCGCTGAGCAGACTCTGTGACCATCCTTTCAGACTCTCACCATTTCTAAGAAAACTGAGCCCACTGATCATCCCGAGACAGCCGTTCTCTGGCTGAACTGAGACCAGACCTTAAGCCTGGGGCCGGAATTCTGAGAAATCCACAGGACTTCTAACAGATGGCCTCCTGCGCCAACCCTGTGTCAAGTCCATGCTAATGCCAGGGATCCAGGAGGATCCAGAACTAATGTGATAATGGCCTCACAGAACCCTCTGCTAGACACGGGTCCCATTGTTTTCTCCTATTGATCCAATACACACCGCTACCTCTTCTAGGAATGGTCCTTGTCTGCTCGTCTTACTACCTTAGGAAAGTAATGTCTGTTGAAGTTCTCAAGACCATTAGCAGATAAAAATCAGCACAAATACTGGTGTAATGATCTATCCTGTCCCTTTAAGAGACATGCCCCGTATAAAGATGCCTAAAATTGAAATTAAAAATGTCAATTTTCTTGTAATTTGATCTTAACAAAACTATTTCATTATGAAAGTGGAGCCAAGTTAACTTGCTGCCAGCTCCATGTCCACTGCAATTAGGTTCTGCAAACTCGGGCTGAGGATTAGAATTAGGGCAGTTTTCCTGAAGCATATCTTCTTGGTGCCCTCAGTGGAGATGTTCTCTGTTCTGACATTGTGAGTTTCTTTAAATACAAAAATCTGCATGCTGCTTTGACATCTAAAATCAAAGAGCATTTACTGTATAGAGTTTAGAAACACATATTTGATACTCTGTGGTGAAAAAAGGAAATGAAAGATTCCCCTAAAGGGATCTAATTCCTATGGAATTTCTAATTCCATAATTAGAAAGACAAAGGAGGACTCATTTAGAGTTTGTACATAAGTGATTTTTATACACACACACACACACACACACACACACACACACCATGAGGTTTTTGTCTTTTGGTAAATCACAGTGCAACTTCTGGTAGCTGGCAACTCACCTTTGGATATGGAACCCAGCTGACAGTTATACCTGGTAGGCCACTACAGTTAATTCTTATTTACACCAACTAATTAGAAAACAAATGTGAATAAGTTATTTTGAGAGTCTGGGGTTGAGAATGAGAAAGAGCCACCAGCAATATATACTGGGAAGGGTAAAATAAAAGAGAGTCGGTCACCAAAGACCACGTAGAGAAAGAGAAGCTTGACCAGGATTCCACAGAAGGGACAGAACCAGGCCTGCAGCCCCACAGGGGAGCTCCCCGCTCTCACTGTGGTCCCACTAGAACCAAACCAAATGCTGCAAGACGGCTTTACCCAGAACCATCTAAGTCTTAACAACTTAGACTAACAACCCAGCTAGGCAACTACATTTCTAGCTTAGAAATTCCAGCTTATGCCACACAAGTCCTTAAACACACTGGTGCCTGCTTAAGATATTTCAATGCATCCCCATTTTCCATAGTTCTCGGGTGCCCTACCAGCAAGCATCCCTGCAGCACCCTGCTAAGCACTTTTACAAGTCAGAGCAAGCAAGCCCCTGGCCCTCAAAGCTACAGAAGTCGCAATTATTGGCTTAGGCTGAGTCACCTCTACTTTATTTCTCATAACTGTGCTCATTTGTTGAGATCTGTTTAAATTCAGGCGGTGTGGGTGTGCACCTCTTGGCACTGGGGGTTTCCTGAAATTGTCAGTAAATACTTCCCATAAATAATGTTCCTTCTGGACTAGCAAATGACCGCCACCACCGCAGCCTCTTTTCTCTTTCTTTCTTTTTTTTTCTGAAGGGAATTTGCAAGTAGAAAGCAAAAATAAAGCTGAAATGTAGAGTTTTTCCGTGCAGGTTGAAAAGGACTGTCAGTGTCGAGGTCAAGGTGCAGTTGGTTGTATAAACTAGGTATTCTGTCGACAGAGACGTGTGGTCTTGCTGGAAGGCCCCTCCAGCTTACATGGCTCGCCATGTCCTGAAGAGAAGCTCAGGGGCACCTGCCGAGTACCATCCAGACCCAGGGGTAAGGGCGAGGCTTCAGCCAGCCCTGGACCTCAGGTAGAAGAAGGATTTGCCTCACAGTCAAGTCTACCTGAGGGGAGTTTTCTCTTATAACTAGGAGGGCGAGGAGTAAAGAGCATTTACTCACGGCATTCTTTTTCGAGTACTGTGAGCACAGAGTACAGAGACATAGGAAAGGACCCAAGCAGAAAACTAGAGAAAAGAAATCGATAAACACTGGGGAAAATCAGTTGTCCTTATCTCGCCTGTCTCTGATGACAAATGTGTCTTCCCGGCTCATTCCTCACTGCCTGCGACTCTCGCTAGACTGTAGAGAACTGGCGCACTTCCTGTAGCCGGCACACCGCTTGGTTAGTCGCGTTTCCATACGGAGCCTCCCTTTGAGGAAGAGGGCTTTTTGTAACAGCACTAAGCATTGTGTGTCTAGTTACAATACATTTTACTTCGGATCTGGCACCAAACTCAGTGTTAAACCAAGTAAGTTATACTTACCCACCCGTTATTCTAAATTCCTCCTCTCCGTCTATATTTGCCTTGAATTCTTTCCGTTTTGGGTCCTCGCCCAATGTTTTATTTTAGTGCTCCTTATCTCTATATCTCTTGAATAGATATAGAGTAAACAAATCCCATGATCCCATAAACATTCTGAAAGAGACAAGGATGCTCTTGACATCCTTCAAAAGGGAAATTCCCAATGTAAGGAAAACTACTGCTTTTACTAATTAACACATAAAAAAACAGAATATAATTTAAAGTACCTCTGAATATCTAGGATTTCATAAAGCAGATATGGCATATTTTATGCATTCATAAAAGATCCCATAACTAACATTTGTTGAGCCTTTTCTGTATACAAAACCCCGGGTAAATGCCTGTTGCCGCTTATCTCAATTCACCCCCTTGATGATACTCTGGGGCAGATGTTATCCCACTTTCAGGGTAAACTTAAAATAGTTATCAAATGATAGAGAGGAAATGCAGGGCCAAGCTAGAGCAGTGGGCAGGCCTGCACGTCCCCACACCTAACTCTCATAACCAGGGTCTTGCTGAAGGTTGGACCTGGTGAAGTAGCCTGTGTTGGGACAGGAATCACAATGACTGTAAGATCAGTAAGTGAGATGCAAAAATCCAGAATGCTTTGCAACAAAATGGTGGATACATGCATGAGCAATTTCACTTGGGAAGTAAGGTTAATGACCAATGAATAAATTCAAAATGCATTCTCTCTTTGGGTTAGAACCTTAACTCTTCTGCCACTCTCTCCTCCCTCATCACTTTATCCTTGGCAGATGAACTTCCTTTTTAGGAAAGCCCTTATAGTGATGTATTTGTTGAGGATGAAGTCCTCAAAAGGTCAGGTAGAAACAGAAAGGCTGTCTCCGGGGCACACTGAGACTCTTAGAAGATGGCTTTTCCAATATTTGAAGAACTGTTATGGAGATGAGGGAAGGCTTAATCCCAAAGGCAAAATCAAAAGCAGTAGATGAAAATGTATCCCAGCATTCCATAAAAGCTTCTGAACAGGTGGAGCCGCTGTGCGCAGGCTACTCTGTGGAGTCTGGAGATATCCCTGTGAGATCATCACCCTGGGTCCTCAGAGCTAATGCACAGGACATTGGGGAAGGGATTTCTGTGACAGTTTAGATGCTGGACTCGATCAGCTCTGACAATCTGTCAACTCTAAATGCTGAGATCCCCATGGCTCTTGCACGGAAGCAAAAAGGGTGAGCTAAACCTGTTCCTTCTATTTTTAATATTTCCATAGCCAAGAAATGGGCCATCAAGTTGAAGCCTACAGAGATTTTTGCACTTAAAAGATAATGAAGTATGATTTCTCGGTGCAGTAAATGGGGAAAGAGGAGGTACCAGAGATGAAAAAGAAAGAGAGAAAAGGAATACCTCGAAGGAAGACCAGAGGTTAAATGAGGGCAGAGGGGGTGATTTTGCAGAGGACAGATCTGATCTGCCAAAGTTTTCACAAGTTCAGCTTTGGAATAGGATCCAAGCATAATATCAGTCCTAGTAACTGAACAGACTTTAGACTGGGGAATAGGACCAGGAGAT